TAGTAGCAAGAAGCTACTAGTAACAAGGGCATCGCTACTAGTAACAATGGTATCACTACTAGTAGCAAGAAGCTATAAAAAGAGCATTACTACTAGTAGCAAGAAGCTACTAGTAACAAGGGCATCGCTACTAGTAACAATGGCATTACTACTAGTAGCAAGAAGCTATAAGAAGGGCATTACTACTAGTAGCAAGAAGCTACTAGTAACAAGGGCATCGCTACTAGTAACAAGGGCATTACTACTATATAATAGCAAGAAGCTACTAGTAGTAGGTGCATCGCTACTAGTAACAAGGGCATTACTAGTAGCAAGAAGCTACTAGAAACTACGGCATCGTACTAATTTAACAAGGGCATTCCTGCTAGTGGCGAGAAGCTACTAGTAACTAGGGCATCGCTACTAGTAACAAGGGCATTACTACTAGTAGCAAGAAGTTATAACAAGAGCATTACTACTAGTAGCAAGAAGCTACTAGTAACAAGGGCATCCCTATTAGTAACAAGGGCATTACTACTATATAATAGCAAGAAGCTACTAGTAGTAGGTGCATTGCTACTAGTAACAAGGGCATTACTAGTAGCAAGAAGCTACTAGTAACTAGGGCATCGTACTAATAACAAGGGCACTACTACTAGTGGCAAGAGGCTACTAGTAACTAGGGCATCGCTACTAGTAACAAGGGCATTACTACTAGTAGCCAGAAGCTACTAGTAGCAAGGTGCATTGCTACTAGGAACAAGGGCATTACTACTAGAAGCAAGAAGCTACTAGTAACAAGGTGCATCGCTACAAGTAACAAGGGGATTACTACTAGTAGCAAGAAGCTACTAGCAACAAGATGCATCGTTACTAGGAACAAGGGCATTACTACTAGTAGCAAGAAGCTACTAGTAACACGGCGCATCGCTATTAACTAGGATGAAGGGCATTACTACTAGGAACAAGAGCAATACTTCTAGTAGCAAGAAGCTACTAGCAACAAAATTCATTAGGAACAAGGGCATTACTACTAGTAGCAAGAAGCTACTAGTAACAAGGTGCATCGCTATTAACTAGGATCAAGGGCATTACTACTAGTAGCAAGGAGCTACTAGTAGCAAGGTGCATCGCTACTAGGAACAAGAGCAATACTTCTAGTAGCAAGAAGCTACTAGCAACAAGATGCATCGTTACTAGGAACAAGGGCATTACTACTCGTAGCAAGAAGCTACTAGTAACAAGGTGCATCGCTATTAACTAGGATCAAGTGCATTACTACTAGTAGCAAGGAGCTACTAGTAGCAAGGTGCATCGCTACTAGGAACAAGAGCAATACTTCTAGTAGCAAGAAGCTACTAGTAACAAGGTGCATCGCTACTAGGAACAAGAGCAATACTTCTAGTAGCAAGGTGCATCGCTATTAACTAGGAACAAGAGCATTACTACCAGTAGCAAGGAGCTACTAGTAGCAAGTTGCATCCCTACTAGGAACAAGGGCATTACTACTGGTAGCAAGAAGGTACTAGTAACAAGGGCATCGCTACTAGTGACAAGGGCATTACTACTAGTAGCAAAGAAGTTACTAGTAACAAGGTGCAGCGCTACTAGTAACAAGGGCATCGCTACTAGTAACAAGGGCATGACTACTAGTAGCAAGAAGCTACTAGTAACAAGGGCATCGCTACTAGTAACAAGGGAATTACTGCTAGTACCAAGAAGCTACTAGTAACAAGGGCATCGCTACTAGTAACAAGGGCATTACTGGTAGTACCAAGAAGCTACTAGTAACAAGGGCATCGCTACTAGCAACAAGGGCATTACTACTAGTAGTAAGAAGCTACTAGTAACAAGGGCATTACTGGTAGTACCAAGAAGCTACTAGTAACAAGGGCATCGCTAGTAGTAACAAGGGGATTACTACTAGTAGCAAGAAGCTACTAGTGACAAGGGCATTACTACTAGTAGCAAGAAGCTACTAGTAACAAGGTGCAGCGCTACTTGTAACAAGGGCATTACTACTAGTAGCAA